GCTGTAGTACCCGATGAATTTTTCCTGTCCGTCGATTTCCTGGGAAAGGACGCCACCGATGCCGCACGCACTTGCGTCTGTGTCCAGAGCAAACTTGCCACCAGATATAGGGTATGCCAAAATGGGGCATTTAAGTTCTTGACGTGTTCGTCGAAGTTACGTCCCATGACTATGATGTCATCCAGGTATATGAGGCACGACTTCCACTGCAGCCCTTTTAAGACACGCTTCATAAGCCTTTCAAGTGTAGCCGGGGCGTTGCAGAGTCCGAATGGCATGACATTGAACTGCCAGAGACCCCCATTAACGCCAAACGCTGTTTTCTCTTTATCTTTCTCGGCGATCTCTACTTGCCAGTACCCACTCTGCAGGTCGAGGGTGGAGAACCAAAAGGTCTCGGCTAATGTGTCCAATGTGTCGTCGATTCTTGGGAGCGGATAGCTGTCTTTCTTAGTGGCATCATTCAACTTTCGGTAGTCCACACAAAATCGGGTGCTTCCGTCTTTCTTCTTGACCAAGACCACTGGGGAGCACCATGGACTTGACGATGGTTCTATTACACCACTCTTTTCCATTTCACTTATCAGCTTCTGGACCTCGTCTCTTTTTGCCAGGGAAACACTTCTTGGATGCTGTTTAATGGGTCTCGCGTCTGCTGTATGGATTTCATGCTTCACCACTGATGTTCTTCCTTGGTGCTCTTTTGTCAACGCAAAGGTAGAGGCATATTTCCATAATAGCTGCTTAGCCTTGTTCCTCTCGGAAGGTGATAATTGGTGTCCACTCTTTTATGTAGCCGTCGAGGTGCTTCTTCTCCATGGCTGCTGGCTTTTCGGTGCTAGTTTCCAAATTAATTACAGCTTCAGCTGGTGTGCATTGTCCAACATCGGAAAATTGGCAAATTTGCTCTTGCTTGTTTGACAGGTTCAAAACTCTAACAGGAATCAATCCGTCCTTGTTGCTTTTCACCAGGGCATTCGCTATTAGGATGTTACTGTTTATGTTTTCTGCTGGTTCCACCACCCACAACTTCTCGGCTCCACAATCTCCATTCATTGGTACCCATATTATTGCTTCGGCACAGGGCGGTATTATCTCTGGATGGTCCGTAGTCAGACGTCTAATGGGAGTACTTTCATCGTAGCCCACGTTGAACGGAATTTCGACGTTAGACCAGGTCATCACACGCTCTTTCATATCCAGATTGATACCAAGGGCAATCACAAAATCTGCGCCTATTATCACTTCGTCTACGATATCGGCAACTATAAACTCGTAATTCTCCGATTTATTGGAAATAGTTAGTCTCAGGGTAATCTTGCCGTGTACTGCCGCGGGCTCCCCCGTTGCTGTGCGCAGTCTGACTCCATTAAGTTGCGTTATTTTTCCCTTTACCAGATCTGATCTTATGATGGACTTTGATGCGCCAGTATCTAACGTCAGAACTCGCTTGTCACCATTGATGTACCCAGTTGTTGTTAGGTTGTGACTTTTTTGTTGTACTATTGCTATGGAGATTGTGGGGCCATCGTCGATGGGAGCCAGTTCATGCCCCGCTGGACTGGCTCGATTTAGTTTAACGGTGACTCATTGGTGGACTGTTGAGTCATTCTTCTACCATCTTTCGTTGGAGGTGGTGACAATGACCTTTATCGTTTGCGCTTAGCTCTGCATTCGCGCGCAATATGACCTGCTTTATCGCAGTTGTAGCATCTAATCCTGGGCTTAGTCATTCCTACCAACTTTGTTTCTTCTATTACCTGCCTCATGGCGTCCTTGATCGAGTTAACGAGAGATTTGGGTTCGCAACATTCGGTCTCCAGTTGGCGAATCTTGTGGGTCTGGGGCTTAACAATTATTCTTGCCGTCTCTTGGGCAAGGGCAAACGACACGGTTTCGGCAAATGACGCTTTTGGTGACGCATATGTTGCACATTTAATCTCAGGGTCACGTATGCCATTCACAAAGGTTTCGATTTTCATACGGTCCACCAATGGGTGATTCTCTCCTGGATACGTCATTAGCACCAAACGTTCCACCTCAGCTGCAAAGTCTTGTAAGTCTCGTTTGCCCTCTGTACTCTTTCCCTTAGTTTCATAAGGTAGATGTTTTGTTTATGTTCGCCACCGTACTTACGTTCCAGTGCAGTAATAACATCTTCATAGTTGTTCCTAGAAGCGACAGGAATACTCGGTATAACATCAGCAGCTCTGCCCTTCAATGCCAGAAGTAGTGCAACCGCTTTGTCGCTGTCGTTCCACGAATTTCTAGAAGCCACTGCCTCGAACTGCAACTTGAAAACATTGAATGACGTAGAGCCGTCGAATACAGGAGGTTTGATTGTTAGTGTGTTATCAGGAACTCGCACCGGACCACCTTTGATTTCCAGTTCCGACATTTTCTTCTCCAGATTCGTAAACCTGTGGTCGTGGGCCAGAAATTTCTCATCCACAGACAGAATCTTCTCGTCAACCGACTGCACTTTGTAGTTCAGCCTTGTTGCCAGTAGAGGACAATTCCAATTTATTGAGCTCCTTCTTCAAGTCTTTCACTCGTAGATCCTTAAACTTCATTGTAGTATTAATGTAATCTCACTTCCGACACCAGTTGTTACGTTCTTGGATTTTACTTAATCTCGTGTAGATGTTGTTTTATTTCCCAATACAGTACGTACTAAATAAAACGCGGGTTCTTTCTGATTACGAATATTACAATGATTTTATTGGCACAACTTTACTTTGCACTTTATTTTACTTGACGGTTTCACTTCGCGATCTGAATCACAACTGACTAACTGCCTTTCCATTTCCCCTATTTATATGAGCCTTGCCTGTCGCTACAGAAGTTTCTAGACGATCTGGTAACACCTAGATTACGAACAATCTACCAATGCAACACACACATACAAACTTACATTGAGTGAACAATAACAACAACACATATACAGGCGAGGGAGTAACAAAGAAAGAGGAATTGAGCGATCATCAATGATGACGTTTAACAAGAATTGTACGTCAATAACAAAATAGACAATGAAAGAGGAAATGGAAGGATGTAGAAATATCTATACAGTAGTTGTTGTTGTGAAGTTATTCGAATAAACTGCGTAGTAGAAATTTACGTTACAATTCAAATTCTTAAATTAACGGAATTCATCTAAATTAACTTAAATCTAAAGTTATATTCGTAACAATATATAGCAACAATATAAGAAATTCAATCTGTAGCAATAATAAAAACTTAACAATATTGATAACAATTAGCTGGTTCCCCAATTATAATAATTTACAAAAACATTATGTAATAATCAGTTCAAATCAATGCAAAGAACTACTATAATTTACAATTTAAGCAGCCTTTAGTAAAAAGTAGATCAATCTTGATTTACAGCAAACGCAATGTACTTATTTTTAAAAATTGTAGCAGGGTACAAAAATATACGCAAAAATGAAGGAAGTTGGTTCCAGAGACGGGCAACTCTTATCGTAAATGATCGTTCAAGCATTAAAGAGGTAAAACGAGGCATTTGCAAATGTGTGTTGCGGATGAAATGAGAAAAAATAAAATTACTACGCAGTAGTACCGGACAATTAGAGCATATTATCTTATAAAATGTGTTTAATGTACACAGGTCAATGTAAATGTGAAATGGTACCCCCAAAAACTGCAGTGAATAATTTGTAACATGGTCCGGTCGTTTCAAACGAAAAACAAAGCGCAGAACCGTATTATAAAGTTTCTCAATTTTCTTCAAGTTCTCTTGACTGCTACCAGAAACTACCTCAAGGCAGTAGCTAATGCGAGACATAAGCAATGCAAAAGCAAGTCGCTTACGAACAAAATTTGGTAAATAGATATTACTGCAATACAATTTACGTAAATATGGTATAACTGCAGAATATAGTGATTGGATATGACTACTAAATGTAAGCCTATTATCAAGTACACATCCCAAACATTTCAATTCTTCAATAAATTCTATATTTAAACCATTCATATATATATATATATATATATATATCTAATGGGGTTAAACAGCATGTCTTTTGACTTTCCTATATTAACCGAAAGATTATTTATGGTAAGCCAACGATTAATCGAGCCTAATGTACAATTAATTCCAGACTCTAAATTTGTAATTGGCCCATCCCTAAAAAATAATTGCATATCATCTGCATAAAAATACTGAAGGCAATAATGACTATCAATACATTTCACTATATCATTTATGTACAGTATAAAAAGAAGGGGGCCCAATACGGAGCCTTGCGGAACACCCGTATATATATCCCGTTGACTAGAAGAAACTCCCTTTAAAGAAGCAAACAGTGAACGAACAGAAAGGTATGAATATATTAACTTACAAGCAGAGCTATCAAACAGAAAATTATTTTTCATCTTCTCAATAAGCGATATGTAATCTACTTTGTCGAAAGCCTTTGACAAATCAAGAGCTACAAGCCAAATTTACCAAAAATTACCAACATCAATGTTCTCCCTAATAGAGTCGGTTAGATGAAGAAGGTGTGTGACGGTGCTATGGCCTCGACGGAATCCAAACTGGAAATCATTTACCAACTTCTTGTCTTCGATATAATCTAATATTTGATATTTCATAAGATGTTCAGCTACTTTAGACAATGCGGGAAGAATACTAATGGGGCGTAAATTTTCCATGCCGAAAGATCCTTTAGTTTTAGGGATAGGCACTACACGCGCTTTTTTCCAGCATAAAGGAAAAGTAGAAGTTGTTATAATATTGTTAAAAAGTTTTAGAAAGTAAATAGACAAGTAAGGATAAATAATCTTAAGAAATTTTACAGGAAATCCGTTTGAACCTACGGCCTTAGATTTGGCGGCACACAAAATCAAATCAAAAATGATTTACCACACCAATTAGTATAATATGCACAAAATTATTAAAAAACACTTTTTAATACACATACACGTATTTTATATTAACTTATATTAATTTTAAGAAATCTTTTTTTATTCAACAGGCAATCCCAAAAATGCTAATAGAGAACGTGAGTCCACGAGGAAAATTTCCCTAACAGTTGCTGCGCACCGTAAGTCCATCTCGAATAGAAAACATTCTAGTTTAGGGACAATAACTAAAACCAATTTCAAACGTCAATTACTAAGTAGATGCAACCAAAGAAACGTATTGCTCTTTGCAAACGCATATAATGAAAAGTACCTAGAAAATTGCGAAAAAATTGGCGAGGGGGCATTTGGAGAAGTATTTTTATATAGAAATTCTGAAGGAAAAGAAAGAGATAATGTTGTTTTAAAAATAATACCTATTGAAGGCAAACAATTGGTAAATGGAGAGGCTCAGAAATCGTTTGAACAAATAATGCAGGAAGTTGTTATTTCAATGGAGTTATGTGGTCTAAGAAATGAAAACAGAGGAATGAGTTTTGCAAACGGTTTTGTAAACATCGTAGCGGTAAATGCCAATACGGTTTACTGTGTCACAACTTATATTAATTATACATTAAATTGCCGTTTTAGGTTAGGTGTGTTAAAGGACAATACCCAGCTCATCTTCAAAAGTTATGGGAGGAATATGACCTCGAAAAAGAATCAGAAAATGACCATCCCGAGTGTTTTTCCTCTGATCAAATATATGTTATTTTGGAAATGGCATTTAGTGGAAAAGATATGGAAAAATTTATTTTTCAAAATGCTGAGCAAGCCTTTTATGCACTCAAACAGGTAATTTAAAAACTGAAATCTGAATTTTCCAAACAAACGGAGTGATATAAACTCTTTTATATTTGTATTCTTTTAGATCATATTTGCACTGGCTGTTGGGGAGGATGTATATGAATTTGAACATCGTGACTTACATTGGGGTAACGTTCTAATTGCCAAAACAGATCAGAAATATTTTAGTTATAAAATTAAAGGCCAATCCGTTAATTTGGCTTCCAAAGGTGTGCAGGTCACCATTATTGACTACACGCTGTCACGCATAACTTACGGAGATTGCTGTTATTTCAATGATCTCTCCCTTGACAAAGATCTATTCACTGCGACTGGTGACTATCAATTTGATATATATCGCATGATGCGTGATATTTTAAAGTATGTTGAATATCAGTTATAATTATACCAAGTACTCTAAATAAATATAAATATTTTTTTCAGTGACAAGTGGGACACATTTGAACCAAAAACCAACATATATTGGATATCATATATTATATCAAAGTTATTGAATGATGTCACATACAAAAGTAATCGCTCCAAACTACATTTACAATATATAGAAAAGCTTCGTGATTTAGAGTCCACAATTTTATCATATAAAAGTTGTATGGATTGTGCCATGAGTTTACTACTCGACTCTTAAATTTAGCTTTTTGTAGTTTTTATTATATACTGATTATATTTGTTATTTAATAATTCTGACAGTTCCACAAATATATTTATTTTTAAACTTTTAATGTAGTACATACAGTGACTTTCTTTAATTAATAATCAAATTTATCCCCACATTCTAATTTTTTTGTAGTTCTAAGAGTGGGTAAAACCCCAAAATAATACCCTAGACCCACCTTGTAGTATACTGAACGTCATATTGTGACTGTGTTGATTCAAACATGTTTGTCTGCTCGTCTTACTATAACAGTTGATGAGCGAACATCATTTGATCTCAAACTACTGTTTTGTTACTGAGCACGTTTTTTACATATATTTATTTACACTCATAAAACGTTTTGGATTATTCAATTTAAATTGGTTTTAATATATTGAGTGTGTGTGAAATAAGGTCATTATGATTGGGTGTATTATCGTTACGCTGTACTCGATCCGGATCGTAACAAGCAGATCTGCTTCTTCTGTGTTTAAATCAAAACAATACCGGATGAAGTGATACTTAAGTATTTTGCCGTCTTTGATTTGATGCTATACGGGAATTTATGAAATCGAAAGAAAGTGAATTGATTGCCACAGGCGGAGCTGTGCTTACTTTTAGTCTAATACATCCTCGATATAGGTTGGCGTACCATTCCAGTTCGTGATTATGTTCCAAATCCACAAAGGTAAATACACTACCTGTTGGGAATCTGCCTAAAAATTGAAATATATTAAATTTATTAATAAAAGACCGGCAGCGCCTACATTTCGTATTCAAAAATACGTGAAGTGTTTTAATTTGCAGTCAATAATTGTAAAGGGCCCCATACACTATACATCATACCGTACAGCATTTGTCGGTATGATGTATATTGTCGTTCTCTTTTGAACTTGCTTCATGCGTCTATACAAGGCAATTCGGTTTTTCACATTTAAATATATATAAAACGTCAACAAATACGAAATACACAAAACGAATTGCCAGAAAATTGTCGGTACGAGCAATTTATTTTCATTTCTATTCCCCTTGCCCCTCTCTATCTCACATATACAAAAAGGGGTTCATCGGCATTATAGTGTATGGGGCCCTTAAATCTCGTTAGAATATTAGTGTTGATTGTTTTTTCGACCTTTTTTGTTGATATTCCAGTAATGAGATTACAAGTCCTTTTGACTGTATGGAAATGGAATAAAAATTGCAAAAGAAAATGTTGACTTTGTGTTTGCATTTTTTCTGTTTGTTTAATACATTGAAAATCTGAGAGTTTCCCAATTAAACATATTATTCTCCCAACCTAAGTGAATTAATTAATAAGCTTACAATAGACAATTTTCTACAACGATTGGTTAATTAAAAAGGAAAATATGAATATATTCGCATGTCTTATACTTTAAAATGTGTTTTAAATAGTATTTGCAATGACACTTGAGGAAAAAAGAGTGTAAGCAGCCTCAGAACATCAAAACCAATTATTCCATGGGAGAATAAACACCTATCTTCGCTCAGAATATACAAAGAAAAGCTATTGGCTAAGAGGAGGAAGAGAGGCAAGGATGAAATTGAATATTAAATAAAAAACTTAAGCAGAATTATAAAAATTTCCAGCAAAATATGTATGAATTCCTATATAAGCTGGAATCTAGAGAAATTGGAACAAAATCCACGTAAAAGTTGGAATTTTCTTAACAAATGCTTTGGAAGAAAGGATAAGCATAATATTCAACTTATCAATGAAGTCAATGAACAAGTATATGACGATAATATAAAATGTAATATATTCAATGATTACTTTTTAAATATTCCTAAAATCTTGAAAAACAAAATTATTCATACGGATGGTGACAACTTTAACAAGTTTTGTACCTTAACAAGATGGCATCAACTTTTTCGTTCAATATTGAAAGCAGAAATAATATTATGAGCCTTATCGAAACCGCTGATAATGGCAAAAGTTCTGGTCATGATAAAATATCAGGTATAATTTTAAATACATTTAAAGAGTATATTTGGGAGCACATATTAAATTTCAACAATATGGTAAACAAGTGTATATATCCAGATGTTCTTAAAATAGCTAAAATTGTACCAGTACCCAAACAGCCAAATGCAAATAAAGCATATGATTTTAGGCCAATAGCCTTGTTGTCATTATTTGATAAAATATTTGAGAAACTGTTGCATAAACAGCTCTCAACATATCTTGAACAGACTGGGCAGGTGTATCCAATGCAATTCGGGTTTCGGAAAGGAGGCGGAACGCAGGATGATGTAGTCAACATTGTAAATATTATTTGTGATGGCTTAGATGCAAACTTTGGAGTAGTTGGTGCAGTGTTATATGACCTTTCAAAAGCTTTTTACCTTGTAGATCACACAATATTGCTGTCAAAACTTCCATATTATGGGATTAGTGGTAATGCGTTACAACTGATTGAAGTTATATTACGAATAGAAAACAATTTGTTGAAATTAATGGTGCAAAAAGTAAAACTGGTACTGTGGAGTATGGTGTACTACAAAGGGAGTGTTCTGGGACCGCTGCTGTTTACATTATATATTAATGATATATCCAATATGAATCTGTATGGAAAATTAGTTCTATATGCGGATGATATTGCCCTACTATATCCATATCATCATATTGCTATTTTAAAGGGGCAAATGGAACAGGATGCTGCTAAAATTATGGGTTACTGTAGAGTAAGTAAACTTGTAATAAATACAAATAAGACAAAAGTGATCAGATTTCGACATCGATGTCCACAATATGATCAAGAATTTCATATACAAATTGGAGATTTAAAAATTGTTGAGTGCCAAATGTTAAAGTATCTTGGCATATATATGCAAAATAATTTGGCATGGAATGTGCATATGGATGAACTAAGAAAAAAAGTTCCGCCTGCTCCATAAATTCAGAAATACATTTAATGTAAAAACGAAACTTTTGTTATATAATTCACTAATTCAAAGTCATTTCAACTATTTGGCAATGATATATGCACATAAAAATAATATATACTTGACATCATTGCAAAGAACCCAAAATAAAGCACTTAAAATAGTTTTCAACTTGTCGAGATTTTACCCCACAACAGAACTCTACAAACATATTGCAAAAAATATTCTCCCTATACATGGTACTTATAAACTTCAAGTGCTGACACATATGTTTAAACTTATCCATGATATCGGTCTTCGGTCAATACAATTTAAAATGAGTCAAACGCTTGTCAATACGAGGAATAATTCTGTTTTAAGAGTAAAATGATGTTTGGAATTAACGAAACAAAAAATTGAGCATAATAATGGATGTTTATTTTTTAACCACCTGCCCAATAACATAAAAATATAACAAGAATTTCACTATTTAAAAAAGAGGTAAAGTCATTTATATAAATATATATATATATTGTTACACGTAATTTTTTATATAATTTTAAACGTTAACATTTTCAATTTTCGAATTTTATAGATGCAGTTTCTATGGGATTGTGTGATGATAAGTAAATAAAAATTACCAAATCATTTTACCAGTTTGTGAAAAATATGCAAGAGTCAAAGCAAATATATAACTCAGTTACAAAAATAATAAAATTATTCTTAAAAGTTAATAAAGCAATTAATAAATATGTTAACAAGATTGATATTAAACGAAAAACGTCTTACAACGATAAGCTTTTTATAATTAGACTATTCTATAGTTATTGCATCCTATAAACCAGAAATATTACAGCAAGGGTTTATTTTATTTATTCAACAATTGGTTATAGCCAAAATTCATAATACAGTATTTTTCGGTTAATTGACCCACGCATAATTGAACCACATGATGGGCAAAAAATATTTCATAGGAAAATACATGTAAATTTTCTCGGATAATTAAACCCTGTTAATTGATTTTCCCGCTTAATTGGTTCAAAATTCATGTCATCAAAAATACATGTTCTTTTATTTTTCACCGGTTAATTGCATAATAGTAATTCAAAAATAATCTGCCATTTTTTACATACATATTTGACATAATTTGTGAAAAAGACTAGGTGGCATCTCACTAATTCAAAACATATGTTTAGTGCTAAGGAAAAACTGCGAGAAAGCGTAATTTGTATTTGACATTGGATTTTTTTTTAAATCATTAGTAGTTCCAATTATACGTGATTACTGTAATTGAACAAACTATTCTATTAAGCGGGTTCGGATAATTGATTCCTCCGTTAATTGAACAAAAATTTGTGCAAATTTTGATGTGCAATTAACCGAAAAATAATGTAGTAACCACAAACTTTCTATCGACAATGCTACCAGCAATATATATATATATAATATATGGCATAATTATCTATTTTTTATGCCATGGTGTTATGATTCTTATTGCGAATACATTTTAATAATATCATGGCGTAAATATATGTAGTCTCATTTGGGAATTTTATGATGGCAACCCTTTTTGATTTGGAACTCATCTATCAATTTTAAATAATATGAAAACTAAATTCCGTTTTTGCAAAATAGTCAGGCTGAATCCCAGTTTGTTGTTTTTATAAAAAAATAAATTCCATAAAATTTTATGTATGTATGTCGATTGGCATATAGAAAACCAAACCCCCCTCAATGTTGGCGACCCCGCAAACGTATAAAGGACTGCGATCTGCGAATCTGCACTTGGAATGTGCGCACGTTGCACTATGTCGCGAGTTCATATAAACAGCGCCCAAAAATAGAAGGAGTTATCGTAAGTTAATGAAATTGAATATATCGGACCAATATTTGGGTCCGATATAATGGGTCTTGAGAATGTCACCCTTTTTGGCCCATAAAATCGTTAATATTCAGACAAATTCATTGAAAATTGGCAATTTACATTTAATTAGGCCTATAAAGCAACTCTATATAATCTTTAATATTCAATCAAATTCAATGAAAATTGGCAATTTACATTTACATATGCCTATAAAGAAACGGACCAAAAACTGGGTAGGACCAAGATT